TATTTTCTCTCCAGCCCCAAACAATCACTAATCTATTTTGTCTCTATAGAATTTCCTATTCTAGACTTTCGTATGAATGGAATCATAAATATATAGCTGTCTTCTTTCATTTAGCATAATGTTTTCAAAGTTCATCCAAGTTACAGCCTGTATCAGTATTTTATTCCTTTTCATGGCCCAATAATGTTTGGGTATATATCTAGATGTAGAATTGCTGGGTCATATAGTAACTCTTAGGTTTATTCGTTTAAGGAACTGCCAAACCGTTTTCCAAAGTCGTTACATTTTTTACATTCTCATCAGCAATGTATGAAGGTTCCTATTTCTCCACATCTTTGCCTGAATTTACCTTTGAGCAATATTATTTTGCTAAGAATGGTGGAATGGAAGGAGAGGAAAGCAACACCCTGATGACCTAGCAGAGGCCACACAAGCTTTGGACTTCTACTTTCCAATTTCTTTAATGTGAAATAAAATAAAATAAATGTTTATATCATTTAATCCACTGCTATTCTCGATTTCTGTTACTGGCAGCATAAAAGAATTCCTAATTTGTGTGGTCCTATTAGCACATCTTGAACCTGGGAAGCCATCAAAAAAAAAAAAAAAACCACCATTGAATTGAATATGTAAGGATTTTTTTCTATGGAAAAGTTTACCATCCGGTTCCACTCTGGAAAAATGCACATTATTTCCATATTAATTTCATATCCCCTCAATTAATAGCCATTTTCTTCTTAGAAATTGTTTCAGTTTTCACTAGTGCCTTGTGGGTGCTCTGCAAGATTGAAACAACTTGATACCCAGAAAGAAATAGAAGTGTTATAGATGCGGCAATTTTTAAGTGGAAAGGAAAGCAGTTATTGTGGCTTATTAAAAACTCACTTATAACTTTATCTTAAACTTTCTGGGAGGCTAAGGAATTTCAGTGCCACGTTGCCCAGATAGTGCTTGTGTCACATATCTGTTCACTTTTAGACATTGTTTTGGAAGCCACTTTCAGCCTTCATTGTAGGTTGTCAGACTCATAGCCCAGGTTTTCACCCTGACCTTTGGAAAAGTAAAAGGAAACCTGAGTCATTAGTTACATAAATCAGTTTTGCTCACTTCCTCCAATGCTTGTGTTCCAATTATCTGCATTTTGAGGAGATACAGTGAACACACAAGCAACCTGCCATTTTACTGGCTCTCCTTGTAACAAATGTAAATATCTGTCACAAAGCAAGTCTTTGATAAATAGGGTTTCAATGTAACTAATAAATCATCACTGGTGGAAGGGAGAACATCATGGAGTCAGGAAATTTTATGATCTATTTCTCTTGATGCTTTAATTAACTGATTGATACATTCGGCCAACATTTCTTGAGCACTTACTATGTTAGAAATAGCACTTCATTCTGTAAAAAATAATAATCTCTTTTTCTTTCAAACTCCTAATAGGTTTTACATGTAAGTTAATGATTCTTGGAATCTATTTTTAAAACAGAATATCTAAATTGTCCTTATTTTTCAAGGAAGCCTTTTTTTCTCATTTTAAGGGTTTTGTTTTTTTTCCTTTTCCTTCTTTCAAACAGGAAAATCATTTAGCTTGTGTTGTTAACAGGTGAGTTTGAATGCTTCTTGTAAAAGCCAAATAGCGGAGAAATGTTTTTCTCTCTCAAAATTTCTCCTGAATCTCAGCGTTTCAACAATTTGCTAATTTGTAGGCCACATTCATTTGTTTATTCACAAACATGTATTAAGAACCTGACGTTTATGCAGCTCTATATTTTGTGCCATACTGGGACAGGCTCAAATCTGTCTACCACAAACAGAATCCTCAAAGAATATGTCCAAAGAATAATATCAACTTTAAAGATTATGTACATTTCTGGAGCTGTACTATATTATTATCTTTCTATTAAAATGACAACATCTATGATCATTTTCTCTATCCATCTTGGCCAGGGACCTTTGTATCTTGAGATTAAGCTAAATCTCTTGGTTCAGACAATCCTGGATTCAAACTCCTGATCAATATCCTATTAGCTGAATTCCTTTATGGCACTCTGGGCAGTGTTTTCTCTCATCTGTAAAAGAGATAATAATTTTACCCACAGTATTGGCTTGCTGTAAGGATTAAATGGAGAGTATATAGCATATGCCCTGCACATAGTGAACAGCCAATTCATGTTAGCTGTGGATTCCAGGTTTGTTTGCATCTTTATTCAATAATCATCTTTAATTCCATCATGTTAAATTTCAATCAGTGACTATCCGATGAACTTTTTACTAAACATATAACATGATGCGGATTGAGTCATAGCACATTGGGATTGCTTTTCAGCAGATAATTCTGGGAAGCAACTATTCCAATACTTTTTCTTCCCGTGATAAGTGCAGGGTCTCTGAAAACAAGGGTTTGGTCTTCTCTGCAGACAAAGGATAAGATGAAATTACTATAAGCGTCAATAACTTAAGTATAAAAGATATGTAACTACATGGGAATGAAAAAATTATATACATATACATACGCAGGTTTTTTTTCACACAGCCTTTTTCCCTTTAAGGCCAAACTTGATTTCCAGGTACAGGCCTCTGTAACTTTTCTTGACACTGAAGTCATGAAGTCTCCTGCCCCTAAAGCCACAGAAATCTTTAGTGGAAACAAGCAACACGCACGACGCACAGCAGAGAAGGAACCCTGGGGCTCCGCTATAGCTCCCACCTGTCAGCCAGGTCATTGTGACGCAAATGCTATGGACACGTGGAACACCTGCGGGAGAGGAGGGCGGGGTCATCCTGGGCGGCAGGTCCGAGCGGGGGATACCCCAGGAGATGGGGGTCAAGGAAAGACCCCAGGGAGTAAAGAGAGGGAGACTCACTCCCCCCATCCCGGACCCGCCCCAAACAAGGTGAGGCCACAGCCCCATCGTCCTCCAAATCCTGGGGTCCTGCTTGGAGAGTTCGCCCCGCCGGGAGTCTTGGAAGGC